TAACTAATCATTGATTAGTATAAATAAAGATTAATGTCCGTTCTACATTTGTCGCCGTAAATCACTAAAGACGTATCATAGCCGTACAAGTCTACTTAAAGAGCGAGGCTGGCATCTATTGGCAAATTTTTCAATTACATAATTTTAATCATTTTGTGTATATATACATTTATTTTTGAGGGGGCGGCGGTCGCCGGTTCGCCGAAATGGTGGATCCGCCCCTGCCTTGAAAACAAGTAGTCTTCAAGAGATTATTCACTTTCAGTACTTTTTGTATCGGTTTAATGAGGTTAGAGAACATACATGAGTTTCACATTTCAGCCCCGAACAAGCTGCGCTAACAAGCTTTTTTTTATAGTACTACCAGTAATCCTAGTAGAGCGGAACTTTAATCGATTGGTTCATATGAAAGATGACTGTTCACAAAAAAAAAACAGTTATACTATATCTGACTTATTTCTTGCATCAGTCTATATTGACTGTTCGTGTTGAGATTTCTATTTTAAATTCTTTTTACTGATAAATATATCGAGCTTCATAATACTTCATTGTCTGATTCATCTTGTACAGCATTTTCTCGTGATATCATTATTTCAAGTGTGCCATATTCATCATCTATTTATAGGCGTTCATTATTCGAATATCATATTCATTTCACGTAATATCTAACGCTAGGAAGCAGACAATAGTTTCTTGTTAGAAAAGCTTTTGTAAACACCAGACAGTAAAGATTTTTTTAAAATTCGCAATATACCTTATTGTGTATTGTGCAAAAGGTACTTCAACACGTACATCTCCGAGAATTGTAGCAAACTAAGCTATAGACTTATCATTGGTACCGAAATGAATCTCCGAATCAAACAACTATTACTTCGTTGATGTATTCATATTCGCCACAATGTACAGGTAGCTCTTCCCAAAATGCATTAAAAAAGAAAGAAGTAAAACAACTATGTATGAAATGAATTGCTGATTTTCGTTTTAAATGTATTGATCAATCATGCTTTACATTAGTAAAATTTAATCAGAAATGTTATTGCAGTTGTCCCTTTTTGAGCTAGGAAAAGAATGTCTGTAAGAAATTATTCTGATGTCGGCTAAACTTCTTGGAAATAATCATATAGTTAAATGTAAAAACGATATATTTAACGAGACCATCGATAGGTAATGTCATTATTAGAAAAGAGCATTGACAAAAAAATAGATAGTCTGTAAAAATACATAGCATTTTCTTTTACAACTATCTAAATCGAATTCGAAATTGAACTTTTGTCATTCGTTTCGGTCTCTGACAGTCACTGTCACTGATCTAATGATTAATGCTACTGGTATGTACATATTGAACATTCGTTTGGTTTCATCGGACAATAAACACACTATTCAAATGGTATCGAATGGTATTCTTGTTAAAAACAGTAGTGGTAAGTACAATGATAGAGTTTGAGTTTCATTGATCACCATGTGTTTTCAAAGATACTCTGGTCACGGAATCGGATCAATTGTTGAGCAATGTTACTTTTGCGGGCAACTACGATGAGCTCAATATTTCAAATCAACTTGAAATCATACGAGCAATGATTTACAATTTCTTCATCAGTTGTGGTATGCCGCTTGTCAGTGATATTACTCTATTGAATGGTTTGAAATATGAGAAATTTCATAATATCATAGTGCTCATTTTGTATCCTTGTAGGCAGTGTTGTCGCATTGTTTCAAGTTAGTGCACTTCCTACAATTATTTCGAAAGCAGTTACAGTCCTTCTACAAAATCCCAAGGCGGTGCCAGGTTTGAATCTTACTTCAGTCAATATCAATGGTCGTTCCTACTCAGTTTCATCATCATCGACTGATAGTGGCTCGAGTATCAGTTCAAATAATCAAGGAAAAAGCATTGGCCTTCTTGTTGGTCTCGTCGTTGGTCTCGTCGGCACTTTGTTGTTGATAACTGCCATCGTTTGGCTTCGTCATAAGCATAAGCAAATGAATGCTCATTGTCGTCTAGCGAATGATCCAAGTAGCAATCTAACTTTGACAACAGACGATCAGGGATGTCCACAATCATCAAGAGTATATGCACACACGAAAAATTTCGAAATGGAAAACAATGCACTTTTTCCAGTTCAGATTCTGCCTCCATCGCTTAATCGTATTAGCTCAGGTCCAATAACAGAAAATGTGCAACCTCAAACAGTTATAGTAAATGTCGCCAATGACGAATTCTGCAAAGTCAACTATCCACAACCTTTGAGCAATCCACCAACAGAAATGGAACTGATTGCATTCGATTGAATCTCGTCTTTGATCATTGTCATAACAAACATTTCTTTTGCCTTTTTTTCGATTCACAGAACAATTAGCTTGAAAATCATTTACAAAATAATTCGTGTATTCAACATTTTCTCAACTAACATTCTCTTTAACGTATTCTAATCAAGAGTAAAATAAAAATAATTTTTTATCGAATGACACATGTTGATTGTGTATTGCTGAAAGCTTTAGCTATCAATTGTGACATGATATTTCAGAATTGAGTTATTTTTAAAAAGTATATCTTACAAATGATAATGTTTGATATTGTTTTTTTCAAAAAAACGGACTTGTTATTACCCTGATGACTAATATGAATGTAAGATTTCTTATAAGTCCTGAGCTTAAATAAATTCAAATTTGTTTTCAATAAAAATTTTATATTTGTTCTATGCAAATTCGCTGAATTCGATCGAGCAATTCTAACAATACTGAATGGCAAGCCCAACTAATCTAGACATAGAGCTGCTGAAGATCTCATCTTAATACGAGCGTTTATAAATGGATTGACGATGATCGAACATCGACGAAAACATTGTAATATGAAAAGAGAATTGAGTGAAATGAGTAAATTTTCACATGGCTATTCGGAGTAGGTGAAATTAATACAGTACGGGGAAAACATTAACATTTTTTATTTAAGATATTTTATTTTACTTTATTTTGTAAACTCTTGTCTACATCAATTGGTTCACTTTCTTTATTAAACTTTTGTTCCTATGATAGATTTTTTTTCTTGGGAAAATTTTTTAAAATTGATTTGTGTATTTCAAGCTCAACTGAATTTTTCATATCAACTGTCACATAGTTATCAAGAAGGAAAGTAACAAATGTTGACAGCAAACTTCAACATATCGAAACTTTGCTATTATAATATCACCTGAAGAATGATGAAATAGTGTGGAATTATGGATTTATATTTAGATCGTCATTATATATAAAAAATTTTCTCGA